TCTGTGCATGTTTTTTTCCAAAAGCCCTGGGCATTGTTCATAAACCATTCTTATGAACAAATTTGTACTTAAGACCAACATTTTTGGCATTCACAAAACATTTTCTTAATTGAAAATGTTCTTCTGGAAGAACAAATCTGACAAACTGTCAGGAGCACTCGTAAGAACAAAAATCCTACTGTTTTAGAATATTATTACTCTGATAATGCAGCAAAAAAAATCTAATTTCTTCATGATTGTAAGATATATATTTTCATTTCAACATGTTACTATGTGATCTAATAACATTTCTGAGGAGTTTTATAGAGCATGTTGCTAATGGGTCTAACAGACTTTATGCAGCCTGCAGTGAGCCTTCATCTGCCCCAGTCCCAGTGCTGGTGTTGGTGAATTTGACACAACTGTCACTTAAGTTTAAGTTTGCTTTGTAAGAATGCTTTGTAAATCTGGCGCTGCATTCTCTCAGCTTCTTACGAATAATGAAGTTACGAATTAACAAATATTATTAAAGAAAAGATTCATTAATTGAGGCCCTTTGTACCTGAAACACTAAATACTAACACAATCAGTAAACTTTGCTCAATTATAATTTTAAATGTTGCTAACAGCCAATAGGAGTGTCCATTCTACAGCTGCTATCATTTGAATTCTTCTTAACAAAACTAAGTGATATTTTTCAGCCAAACAAAATTGAAAATGTTGTAGTAATTCTAGCCAAATGACTGGAGGATAGTGTGAGACTTTGTAAAATTTGCTTTGCACAGGATGTTGTCTTATAACCTCGCTTTAGCAGGCCAGATGCAGATGTGACAAGATGCATTAATCTGATTGTGTCTGGTGTCTCTACAACAGTTGGCTCTAATTGTGGCTCAGCAGAGAGATAAAGCAAACAACTTATCAGGCATCTTACTAACTGCACTGGAGGAAGGCTTAAAGAAAATCTACACTGTCGCCAACAGAAAAAAGGGTATGTATTAGGAGCTCATGATCAGTTGGACTTGATTAATTAACAATTAAATAATTTAAGCTATTAGAACTGTGCAATAAATCAAATGCAAATGTGATTACAATTATATCTCCAATTAAAAAACAAAACGCTATTAAATTCTGTGATGCTCATTCTGCCCTTCAAAACTGGAACAAAGCTGCTTGTCTAATGATCTATTACATACTTGCAATCTTATTGTGCCTCTTTTGGCAAATAAGGCAGAGCGTCCTTCAATGGACACTGGTCTCCTGCTCCAGTGATCCTGATAATGATCCATAGCGGGTTTTAAAATATGAAAGAGAAAAAATTCAAACTATTAGTAAGTTTATTCTTCACGCCTTTTGACAATATATTTTTTTAAATAATCAAGATTTCAATAATGACATTAATTATTTATATCCATATTTTAACAGTCCTACTAACAGAATCAGAGAAATTATGATGTTATGGTTATTACTAAAAAGAACAGCTCATCAATATAATATGTTTCAAGATTAAAGAAATTTAACAAACATGCATTCTTAATTTGCTAAAAATTTGAAACACTGTGTAGGTTTGTGATAAATATAGGATTATTTTTGAAACATTCTGGAATGTTCTGGCTTTCATTTCCATTGCAGCCTTAATGTAAATGATAAACAGCAAAGATGAGATTATGGAAGTGGTTTGAGTAATTATGGCTTGACTTGCTTGACAAGATTTGCTAGACTTGTCATTTTGAAGAAGCTGTCACATGCATAAAATATTGGTCTAATAATAGATAATGTTACCTAATTTTAATTATAAGCTGTCTTGACTTGCTGATGTCAAAACAACTGCTTGCCCAACTGAAATTGAACTCTGGGCTAAGAAAAACAAGATGACACTTTTTTTCCTACCATCTTTCTTGCAATAAACTGCAAGCAACATGATTTTTTTTTTTTTTAAATTCAAGTGTGACTGTTGTTGTAATAGTAGCTGTAAACAAACTTTAAAATAGATAAAGATATTGATTAATCAAAAATACTAGCAGTGATTTAGTGTTTACAGAAATGGTAATAGCTTTTACGAAATTCTCCCAATATAATGGCCATTTAAGTTATATGCTTCCAATCTCTCAAGTTTTGGAAATTCAATTAAAATCTGAGACACATGGAACATGATCTTGATCTTGTATTTGCCATTATTTTGTCTGCATTCTGGTTGGTTAACCTCATACCAAGTTTAAAATGCATATCTGTCTCTGCTCATAACACATTTTAAATATCGTATACCTATTCATCCTGTGTTGTGTAAATATTGGATACTTGTCTTTAAATTATGTCCATCCTTCTCCAAAAACAGCGAGCGTTCATCTGCCCCGGATCGGCCATTCCACAAAAGGATTTAACTGGTACGGCACGGAGAGGCTGATCAGAAAACACCTGGCCACACGGGGCGTCCCAACATACATGTAATATTTTTTCTTAAGTCATATGGAGTGCAGTGATAAAAATGTGAAGGACAGTAGTGTTACACGCTTCTAATTACAAGGTAAACTTGGAGAGTTCTTGCAATGGCACAGTCCCAGTGCTGTAATAGATTTACTTAGGGTTTACGTCATTACAACTGTTTTACTTTACCATCTGTGATTTTGATTTATTTATTTAAATATTTAATTTATTTATTTAACCCAGATGTGAAACCCCTTCCCCCCTCCCTTCACCTGGCTTTGGTTCAGTCTCACCTGTGTTCTCTTCTGTTTTAGTCTGTCAGGCCAAATCTGGCACACTGTCATACAGCAGAAACGTAGATAGCATCTAGTGGTGATATGTGAGAATGCAGCAGGGCCAGGTTGGTCCATCTAACAACAAACTGAGACTTTAAAGGGTCATATCTTTAGCTATATTGCCCTTTTTTGCTACCACTGTTCTAGTATAAGTCATAGAAGTTCATACAATATCACTACACACCACATTACTGGTTAAATTGCCTTTGTTACGCAGCTTATCAACTTGGAACAGTGTCTCGTTTATAAGGGCTCGTATATAGCCCAAAAGTTTAAATGGAAATGCTTGCATGAAAATGTAATCTATATTTACTACTTAAGTTTCCATTGTAGTTATAAAAAGCTTTTTATAACTCACACATTTCTCTGTTACTCCATATTTACCTACTTATTCAGCTATTTTTAACCCAAACTTTCAGATACTATCACAACCGCTCTGCCAAGAACACCTCTGCCCTCCTCCAAACATCACCGCCTCCTGCTACGTCCACTTCCTGCCCGGACCTACAGCGACGTAATGCTGTCTCAGATGACTCTCCAACAGAAGCCCCCGGCCCCTCCACCACAAAACCCCCTCACAGTCACTCGGGGCTGCCCAGCTTCATGAGTGGAGTCCGTGTGTTCTTCTACAACCTGCCTGCGTCAGACAGGAAGAGGCTTGCACGTTACCTCATCACATATCCTTCACAAGAAAAAAAATTATGAGTCTGTGGTATCTTAAGGTGATGATGTCATATAATGTGTCAACTGATAAAGATCTGTGGCTGTCATACATTTTGAGTTTTTGTTTGGGTCATGCCACAACTTTGCCATGACAGCAATTAATAATTCACTTCTGTGGAGTTTTAACAGTGGCTCACATTACTGCCAAAATTACTGCCAAAAATATATGCAAAAAATCCTTAAAATGCCACCTATAAACAGGAAACTGAAACCCTTATTCCTGCACAGCTGAATTCATAATGGTGTAGAGCTGGGCAATATGATAGTCTCTGATCCGATTCCTATGTTGGATCTGCTATTTTTGCTATTACCATGTTTTAATTTACAAATATTTTCTTGAATGCAGCCTTGCGCTTAAAAACACACTTTTCCCCTACCCACACCTCTCATTGGTCAGCCACAATGCATCTTCCATATCAAAAATGTGCTGTGTTTCTACCTTAATGTCTTCTCACATATGACGGTGATGAGGAGGACATCATGAGCTCAGAGGTTACACACATTGTTGCTGAGGTGGACAACTCGATTATTTTGCAGGTTAATAATTTGAAGTTTACTCTGTTATGTAATAACAAAGTGATTTGAAACATGCTTAAGTCTGATTATTTGTGTGGTGCAGGAGCTGAAGGAGATGGTGGAGCAGTATGATCAGGCAGTTCCCGTGAAGAAGTCATGGCTTGAGTCCTGTTTCTCCAAACAAAGAAGAACCGACACGGAACAGTTTCTGCTGCTAAAATAGACGTTTGCTTTTAGTCTTTTTTTTTTTTTTTTTTAAATAAGAAGATAACCTGTTTAATACAAAATGCACTGAATGTTTAGTATTATACACCAGTTGACTGAAATACAAAAAAAAATGTTGTTGTAAACAATTGAATATGGTGTAGTAATTCAAGCAGATGTGCTTAAAATGAATAAATGAAATAAGAAGTAGCCTTATTATTTAAATGGTTTAGTGAGATGTCTCTGCACAATGTCCCTTCAAATAAAGACTAAACTAAACTTGAAATATATATGTATGTATGTATATACATAGATATATGAGTGCAGAGACCTTAAGAAACATCATAAAAACATATTCTGCACTAGATTATAGCTAAATATCTTTCCATCTGCAGGACCTGATTTACTGAAACAGATTATGCAATTTCACCAATCAATACCATTTCCAAACTGCCTTCTCTCTGACTCGTATACACTCACACAATTGCACACATGTGCAGTACAGCCACACATCTCAGCAATGAGCATTAAGTATTTACAAAATCATGAGCTAGCTTCATCTTATAAAATGCAACCTAACATCAATCCATAGATGGTCTTAAGTGGATCATTAGAAATAAAGTTAGGGATGCCTTTCTTCTTAGTCTTAAAAATGTGCAAATCACATTTTAACTAATACCCCTCTAAAGGAAGCCTTATTGCAGTTTTTTTCACCAGAGAAGCCCCCTATTTAAGTCAGGTGATTACTACTCACCTTTGATTTCAGTTTACTTGTCTGATCGTGGGATAAAGGTGGAGCGTCCCGGGTGGGCGGTGCTTACGCGCGCTAAACTACTGAAGCATATTTGTCTTACGGGACGGGACTAGTCACAGTCAGTCAACATCTTGCAGGAATACTTTTGTCCATTCTTGAAAATATGTCGTTTGTTTATGGCATTTAAATCCTCACAATTACTTTGGAAGACGCGCTCTGAAGTTACCTGTGGAGAACTGGCGCGCCGGACTTAAAGGTGAGTCGCGCAGAAAGTTTTTTTTTTTTTTTTTTTAAAGAATGGAAAGCATTCGCTTTTTGAGTTTTGAAAACAACATCCTACACAAACAAAGGACACAAACAAAGTCATCATCATGTTTAATCGGCGTAGAATACATTTTAAATTGCTAAGAGGGGGAAAACAAGATTTTGTAAAAAAAAATTTCTTCCGCGAAGAAAGTGTCGAAGTCGGCAACGTAACTGGGTCATTGTGTTACAGAGAGAACGAGTCTCAGATCCTGTTTATAATGTTACATAGTAGACCACAAATATACAACTTTTACGGAACAATTTGAGGTGCTCCCATTATCATAGCTATTATTATTGTTGTTGTTGTTGTTATTTATTTATTTATTATTATTATTATTTTTTTTTAAAGAAGTTTAGTTATGTAATAATATAATGTGTATGGTATATAGGCTATTTAAATATCCTTTGAGATGCACACGTAGCCAAGCCTAATGTTACATTTTAAACTCATTAGAGTAGAGATGTGTGGCGCTTTGGGAAGTTTTGTGGTCAGAAATGTCATCACCTTTGCCTCTTTGAACGATAAGAAAACAGTAGACTATCGTTAGCAGTAACTGAGCAGCCGCGAGAAAGTCCCGTGTGTGGGAGAGCCTTGCTCCACGTGGGCTTGTGCTTTAGGGACAGCAGCAGAGTGGAAACAAACCCTGCCTTTGAAGATGAAAAAATAAACACCTTTTTGTTCACATGTTGGTCCCTTTTCTCTTCTCCAGACACTCAGGGATGTGAGGAGAACGAGGTCCAGGGATGCTACCCACTCCTGTCTGCTCTACTCATGTGTTCAGGTCAGACAATCAAACCCACTCAAATACTTCACTGACACAACATAAAATACTCCAAAGTAGTGATACTGAAGTAAGTGCACCTACTTATTGCCCAGGAATGCAAGTATGCAAGTATCAGTATTATAATATTTTACCTGCATAAAGTGTTTCTGTTGTCATATTCTTTATTAGTAATGTATTGATACTATTTCCACACCCACTGCTGTACAACATTGCCACATTGCCTTTTACTTATCAGAATAAAAATGTTGGCTGGTGTAGGCATGTGGAGAAATCACTGAGATTTAGGTAAAACTGTCATAATAGAGCTACATACAACAGGAAAACACAGAATCACAAACACACAAAATACAGTGTCTGAATTAAGTTCTCTCTCTCAGTCATTTCACTCAGTTGGACCGATATCTGAGCCAACACGGTAATACGCCGGAAGAGGACGATGAGACCATGAGCACACAACACCCGCCCACAGATCCCCCCACCCACAACTCAGACCTTCAGGGTCCAGAGTCTGCTCAGGCCCTGTTCAGAAGATTAGACCAGGACCCCGGACACTCTGAGGTGGCCCAGCATAGCCACTTTAGCCCCTATGCTCCCATCCATGGTGGTCCTACGCCTTTCCACAGCCAGGCAGATGAGTCCTGGACCCAAAGTCACAGTGCCACAAGCTGCTGCTGCTACTCGGGACCCCCCCACCACCAGCACCACAGCAGCCTGCCCCCCCGCCTGAGCCTCAAAGAGCACCCGTCGTTTTCAGAGGAGAGCTGCCTGTCCTCCTGCCACAAGTCCCTTAGCTCACTCCCCAGTGCCCACAGCAGCGTCATGTGGAGCCTGGAGCAGCCCCTCTCTCTCCACTCCCTCCCCCCTTCGTCTGAGTTTAGACACCACACACTGTTGCCATATTCCTGCTTACCACAGGAGGTGCCATGCTGTGCCCAGTGCCCCCCAGAACAGTTCAACAGAGGGGCAACAGTCAACAAACCTGCATGGCCTCAGTACCACCCAGGACCCGGCCGATTTGTGAGTCTACAAATCCATATAATTGTGTGTCTACTGAAAAATATGTATAAAGAACATTTTACATTTGCAGTTTAATTCTTCAGTTCATAATGTAAACTTTAAACAAACCTAATATGAACTAAACCAATACAACAATCACATTTCAGAACATGCTTTAGAGGTCTGAACTACAGTGTTAAGCAGATTTACATAATTAGACCACATAGACTGGATAGTTTTTTTTAGAGAACATTACACACTTTGCAATCAGTGCTTTCCAACATAATTGCAATTCATCTTCCAGCTACATCTATTTCGATTTATACAGAGTTCAATTGAGAATAACTAAGAATAAAGAGTAAACTAAGGATTAGTATTCAATTTGCTGCTTTTATAATGTGAAATAACTGACTACTATATTGGTTATTAATGCCTAATTAGTAAATATTTTAAAATAATTTGTTGTATATTTGCCACAGATCCTGGTGATTTCCGCCACCCTGCTCCCGCTTACACACAAATGTGAGTGTCATTGTTATTTAATATGAATTTTGCACCTAGAATAAAGACTTTGACCATCTATCTTAATTATCTTGTTTCAATACAGTGGAAGCAATTTTCAGGCCAAAGAGAAAACATCTTCGTTGAGTGCACCACTGTCACTGGAGCAGCGTAAGTATTACGCATTATTATGTTTTTAAAAAACACAAATGGTTAAAATTATAAATCACTGAAATGTGGAAACCAGAACTTAATCAATGGGGGGTAGAGACATTATTGAGGTGATACTCTGCTTCTTTCTTCGGGCTAAAATCTGGTGCAAGATGAGGAAGAGATTGAGAGACTGAGGTGGCTGATGGTTCTGCTGCTGCAGTTGATACAGAGAAGGGTTAAAGCAGATATTTTATAGCACATGTCCAGCTGACTTCCTGCTGGCAAAGCTTATTTTTTGAAGCATATTTTTGGTGGCATACAGCATGCCGCGTTCACCTCTCTAGAGCTCCTTTAACCTCTCCAAGGGAGAAAAATAGAGGCTTGAAGAACCTGAACTGCCTCTATCTCTTACTGTATATTAAACATTGTGATGTGTTAATGTACTTTATCCAAGTTCGTATAATAGTCACTCAAGTTAGTGTTTACTTATGCCATTTGGTACTAGTATTTTGCAGTATGGCGATGTATTCCTGTGACAATATGCCTCACCTATTGATCAATATCTATAAGTTCTGAGAAAGTGACAGGTGAAATCAACAGGTGAATTTAACCATTCACACTGCTTCTGAAGAACTATATAAAGACAGTAGTTGCACGTGAATCGAGATCAAATCACAGTTGTGGTCTGATATCAATATTTTGGTCTATCAACTACTCCTATATAATGCCTTACCTAGCAGTTAAATAGATGTCCCTTGGCTGTCTTGTTTACTTTTCACTCAGTGTTAACTTATACTATGTCAGATTTATTTCATAACATTAGATTTTTTCCCTTGTATGTTTCAGGAAGAGTCTTTGTGACCTACGAGGCCGACAGTGACAAACATGTCAACGAGGTCATCAGCTTTGTGGCTCTGCTGCGGCACAACGGCTTCGATACTCATGTACGTACTGTTTCAGTTTGACAAATTACTTCGGTCATTTGTGTAATGATGTATTAGTGTATTAATTAATTACACTTTATTAATTTGTCAGCGGTCAGAAGTTCTTGGTTACTATTAAGTTGAGCATTTTGTAACTAAAGGCAGTGTCTAATGTTCAGAGACAAATTCAAATTCATCAGGTTGCTGATAGTCATCTTAACATACTTGATTGTAGTCATTTCATGTTTCTGTACGTTTCTACCTATAATCATGATGAGTTACTGATGTCCTAACATTTAAAGTTCGATTGAAAAAAGCTCTATGAGGCGCCTTTTGGGAAACCTTATCTTGCTCAGAATGCACTTTGTCAATGTTATTTGGAGACTTTGTGCAAAATGTACTCAAAAAGTTATTTGTTTTTTCCCCAGATTGACATTTTTGAGCAGCAGTTCAGGAGCATAAGCAAAATTGACTTCATGGAACGGTATCTCAGTGAGGTAAATTCAATCCAGTGAATATCTGTCTATTTGCCCTTCACTTTCCAAACTATTATTTCAAGCGCATTCATACACCAAAAGACAACGCTTTCTATTCCTAACAAAATCTTCTGAGTGCAAATATTAGGCATGCTTTTTCAGTAGATGTACTATGGCAGCAAGGAGCATGTTACAGTGAAGCCAACTCATTTTGTTTCTGTTTGTTTTGTTGCTATAGAAAGAATACCTGATCATCATCATCATCAGCCCGAAGTACTACAGCACAGTGACGGCTCCCCCTATGGGTCATGAGCAAGATGAGCGCACAATCAATACAGTATACATCCACAAACAGGTATTATAAAACACCAGCATGATACAAGATACACAGCTGCTACTACTATTACTATTACTATTACTAATTCTCTTGGTAAAATATATGGTACTTCAAATAGCTGCCTCTTACCATAAATCAATCCTAACTATTGTGTTCATATGAAAGTGCCAAACCTCAAAAGGCTATTTATTTAATCTTTTCTGTAGTTTTCAAAAGGGAAACCTTGCATATTTAATACACATTTTGACTCTATTTCTAATAATGAGTGTGTGTTTAAAATTAACATATCGCAAATTGTGAATTTTGCAAACATTTGAGTTGGGTTCTTGTTGATTTCAGCTACAAAATGAATTCATCCAGAATGGGAGCAAGAATTTCCGCTTCATTCCAATTTTGTTTCCTGGAGCTAAAAGGGTAAGGAGCAGCAGATGTTTTGAAATCAATTAAAACAGTATTAATGAAGACATGTATGCTCATGTGTTGTGTCCTCATGCCAGTGTCACGTCCCAGCATGGCTTCAAAACACGAATGTTTACTCTTGGCCCCGAGATCGCGATGACATCCTGCGAAGGCTCATGAGAGTGGAGAAGTACAACCCTCCTCCAATCGGAGATCTTCCCACTATTGTCTCTATCCCCATTTAGACAGTTTTGGACTATCCGCATTATGTTTTGGATTCTTCTGATTTGGCACATTTTTGGGGTGAGGAACTTCTGTTGTCACCACCATCGAGGACTTCAGCTGTAATGGGAAAAGTAAACTGCTATATACAGTATTGAGCTACTCACCTGTGTTCAGAATGGGCAGTTTGGGGGAATTTTACTTATCCTGGATACTAGCACAATGTAACAATGCATTTAATGTCAATTGATTAATTGAGTAAATGCAAAAAATGTCTTGGTCTGGAAACTTGAAACATGTGAAAGTCTTGCTACCTGTGGTTTATCAGTACTGTGTGTTGTGGTGCATTCAATTTAGCTTTACCTTTAATAAATATATACAATTAATTTTTCAATGTAGTATTATGTGTATTCTGTATGATTATGGTTGCTGTGACAATTGTTAACAAGAAATTTATCACAAGTTCTGGCTTGTTTTTTGATCATGTTTTTGTAGAAATATCCAGAAAACAGCAATGAAGTCGTGCTTGAAATATCTGAACTGGTTTTATTACTACTTTTATAGCACATTTACTGTAAATATTTTCCCAATGAAAGGGAACTGAAACACGATTTATGTCCTGTTAGCTACAGCAAGCTTTACTTCATCTTTTAAGTGACCACTAAAGTAAAAGTGGCATCGGCTCTTACAGACTTTTAAAACCACTATTACCTATTAACATAAAAGTCTCAAAGGCACAACATAACACAAAAGTGGCCAGTATTAACTAATATAATGAGATGTGTTTTGGACTTGTCAAAACATCTTTTATTTATGAGTTTGAGGCATGCACAGACGGGACGGTTCTACCTTCAGGGTTATGGGTGCATTTTTTACATAGTGATCAGCATTTCTGTATTGGGCTGTGCCTTGGAGACATGGCCGTGTGTGTGACAGCTTTACTACTATTGCATGTTCTACCACCTCAACTTAGTTTTATAGCGTACTCTGGAGAAAATACAAGGTGTAATCAAGATGTGTGAAACAGGATGTTATTCTGAAGAAGTGGCGGCAACTTCTGAAGAATCTGCTCTCAAAATGGGTCACAAAAAACTGCTTGTGGTTAGTGATAATCACGTGTTTGTACGATGACATACTTCTACAGTAATAGGAGGAGAGACAGGTCAGTATACCAGTAATGTGCAGGTGTGGAAATTTGTCATTTTCTTCGTAAATATACATCTTCCTGATCATTATATGGGCAAAATCAAGTGTTTTTGGGTATTATAGTTAAGGGCATGTCTAATATTTCAGTTATTAGTTAGAAATTTACACATATACTTATTTTAATGACATTGATTCACTATATATCACACAGAGTCCATTATAAACTGGTCACTCGAAAATAAATTTAATGCAACTGGACAATTTGAAAATAAACTTTTGAGGGTGAGGTCATTAGGTTTAAATTACATGAAAGCTGGCCAATAATAGGCAGGACAAATTTGCAATCTGTACAATATTACGACTGGTACAACTTCTCTCACTAAATAAATACATACATGCACAAATAAATACATAGTTTAAGTAGATCTTAAAGATTGTAACATATTTTGGGTTCTACATGAACATCTAGATTTTAAGTTGAGCCATGGGCATTACAGTGAAAGTTGACGACTTTCAGATTGTGAGATAAGACCAGTACCCAAATGGAGGTCTCTACTACTACATCTAGAGTTTTTCTTTAGTAAATTAGTGTATACTGATAATGTGCTGATAATGGTGAATCATACTAACAATAAAAAGAAAAAAGAAAAAACTAAATATACAGTAATTGGACACAAAACAGGTGACAACTGTGAGGATATATTTCATTTGTTTATCTTCACAAAGAGGTAACACTGCAGAGTTCATACAGACATCATTTAAAAAATCTGAAACAGTGTCTCATATATTCATTCATATATTGAATAGTACATGAAATAATATTAATTTTAATACATAATAACAAAAGACAACATTTTGTAATAAAAGTGGATTACAAAGTGACATTTGTTGAAATAAATTTTTTTTTAAGAATTAGGAAACAGAAATTAGACGATAATCTTGTAAAAACACTGAAGTGCTATTTGTTCAAAGCTAAAAAATACACTTAAAAAGCCAGAAGCGTTTTCAATTTCCTTCAAGGAAAAGTACTATACAATAAGTTACAGTACAGTGAATTTGTCCAAACCGACTTTTGTTCCCGTCTTCCAGCCTTTTCTTAAGTAACAGGAATAAAAAAGAAATTTCCCCAAAAAGGAGCTGAACAGTCAGCTTGTTGTCGGTAAAACTGTGTGTAACATGTTTTTGAGCAAAGCTAACACTAGAGAATGTCACATCTGCGTTGAGTTGTAGGACATTTGTACTTCATGTGCTCAGAAAAATACTTCATGTTTGTCAAGATGCACCTCACACGTCATCTGCCGGTAAAGGAGGTATGTTGAACCTTGGTCTGGTGAAGAAAGCCATCTTCTCTCTGTTGACACAAAGACACGATGTTACCTCAAAGGTTTTTGGACATGGCGGCTGAAGTGTGAAAGGGCTGAGAAATTGACGAATGGTGGTGGTTGGGAAGTAACCCCATAACGCCAAGATGGTGACTACCACATATGTAAAAGGTCTTAAACCATGACACCAACAGTGAGCACTCAGTCAGTGGAACATTTATTATGCTGAAAATGCTTAATGGAAATGAGAGGCAGGTATTATTGCATTTTTTAACTTGTGAGATTATGTAGCCACTTGTCCCATCCGCATTACATCTATATTATGCTATTTTCTGATCTATGTTATAAAGTTGTTTCCTCATCATAAACATATCTGGAGTTGTGTTTTGTTTTATTCAGACATACATGTTTAACACACAAACCCTGTATATTTAGGCTGTGTTCTTCTCTTAAACAGAAAACACCTTGTGATGTCATGTCTCATTACATAGTCAGTACAATCATTTGAGTAATTTCAGCCATGGAATTAACTATCTCTACTGAACAGTAAAATGTAGCTATTAACCTGAAAAGTACCACTACATGACATCACAAAGTGAAACAGAGCATTTTAAGCTTTGAAGAAGTAGACAGACAGATTACTCAAACATGTGTGAAATAAAGAAAACAACTCCAGATCTGTTTTTGAGGTGGTGGCAGCATTATAACATGATTTAAGCTCATAAGAATCAATTTTGGATAATATAGGACCTTTAAGTTATGTATCTGGGAAACGAATTTGTTTACGTTTATATTGTAACACACCTGAAGGTCTGGACGGGCAGTGGCTCCTTGCTCTGCCCTCTCATCTGCAGCACCTCTTTGGACGCCTTCCTCAGCCGCCGCTCTGCCGCCTCCTCCTGTCGCTGCTCCTGTTTGCTTTGGCTCGCCTTCAGAGCAAACATGTACGGTGATGACAATAGAGAAAACAAAACATTTTACCATTGATCTCAACTGCTGGCTTTGGTGACACCATTATTGCTATGCTTGGTTAACACTGTGTATATAATGCCTCATTGCGAAATTGATCTGGAAAATAAATATAATATAGGGCAGTGGTTTCAGTGGTTTTCAAACAAGAAATATTTGGCCTCAACTATGTTGGCAACAGGACTACTAAATAGGACTAAACCAGATTGAAAATATGTACAAACCAGGTTTAAACATTTGAACATATTTAAAGCAAAGGGGCACATTCTAAACACAAGAATTAGGCTATAAATAGTCACTCATACATTTCAGTGTGCCAGTGGCCTTGTTAACATACACACCAACATCTGATTATAATTTGATTTCTGGATCTTTAACAGTACTTAAATGACATGTAAACTGCAAAATCTGACGTGCGTGATCAGAGGGACCATGATCAGGAAGAAAGTAGATGTTTTTATCATCTAAATAATCTTAAAACCCCAAAAATTTGATATTAATTAAATTTTGAGTGTGCAAGTAAACATAGTCATTGAGTCAAACTTGCACTTAACACTTTCACTGTCAGCCCTTTTTTGTGAAAGCAACCTCTAGCTAATATAAACAACTTTTGCAAACCATGCAAAATTTGTATTCCAAAGCAAAGCTAAGCAAACCTGCTTGTTATGCCCCTTATTAAAACTCCTTCTCTCCCATCCCCTCACAAAATTAACAAAGAGTTAAACAACAATAACTTTGAAGTATTACATTATTGGCAGGATTTATTACATTATGACATTTTTTCCCCCTTGTTGAGCGAATAATGTAATACTTTATAATGTAATAAAGTATTACATTATTGGAAAGCCTCTCGGCTTATCCAAGTTATTATATTATTGGCCAGTTTTTACATTATGGACTTATTACAGTTAAAATTGTCCAAAATGTCTTCATAGAGCTTAACCCAGTTGCTGTTAATGTCATACACATTATGCCTCTGAGGTCTGTACCTGTCTGTGCGCCTCTCGTAGCAGTCGTCTAAAGCGCTCATCGCGTAGTGCCCAGTGCGGCAGCTCAGACGTGTCCCGGCTCTGAGGCTCCTCCAATCGCAGCTTGAGCTCCCGCAGCGCACTCAGCTCCTCCAGTAGCTGCCTCTGGCGCACCCTGCAGGCCTGGAGGTCCAGCTCCAGATCCAGAGAAGTGCGAGTGGGCTGCTCTGCCAGGGACGAACGGTACGACTGCTGCTGTCAGAAAGTTATTATTAGGCTCAAAACCTTCATTATGACTGAGCTTTTAAGAAGAGACCTTTACTTTACCTGTTTATATCGTAATGTTCTCCTCTCCACGGTGTTTCGGACAAAAGGGGTTTTCTTTGGTAAAGTTGAGCTGTCACTGTCACTGCGATACAACTATAAGACCAAAGCACATGTTTATTAGTAAATTAAACATAAAAGTGTCCTACATTTTTTCTTTTGAGCCCATACCCGGCAGACATATTGGCTGCGAGCCCCAGGAGAGAAGGTCTGTGAGCGGACAATGGTGCTGCCCCTCATGAACGGGGAGTGGCTCCAACGCCCCCCTCTGTCTTTAGGACGCACTCGCACCAGCTCTGGAAAGGGTCCCTCAGTCATGGTTGCCTTCTCCACCTGACAGCAGCAATCACACAAAATAATGATGAAATGAAGACATACAAGACAGTTAGGGTAGGCTTACTAACATCACAAAATCAGCTTACATAAAATCAAACAATTTACTGGACAAACTCCCCACTACTTCAGAGTCACTAGTACCTTGACTGCAGGCATTTTGGTAGGAGTGATGTCACAGCGACCTCCAGTGGTGAGGTATGTCCCGTCAGTACAGAGCCCTTCAGAGCACAGGGCAGTGAAGGCTGTGCTATTACTGCAGCCACTGTCCACCGACTCAGCCTGCCAGTTCCTATAACACATGAGTTAGATCTCCATGAAGACAGAACAGG